CCTGTGGCCGTGTTATCACACCATCCAGCAGCTGGATTGGTCTCCCCCCCCAACACCAAGGTAACATGGGGAAATGGGGAGAAGACAGCCCTGGCAGGCGGCCCCAGCTCTGCTCCACAGCTGGGACACACGGGTCACCGGCGTCCACAGCCGGACCGACCCAAACGTGGCAGCGGCGCCCCTGTGATGCATGGGCAGCCCCGCCAGCTGCGGGTCCCGCATTAAGAGACAGACATCCAGTGTCCAACATCGCGCCGGAAAGAGGCAGATGGGTTCTCGGCTGAGATGCTGGCAGTGCCCGAGCCCAGCGCTCATTCTGCTCGTGCACATGGCAGCCAGCACTAAGTGGACACGAAGGGCACTGGGAGGGACGACGCAAGATGAGGAACTGAGCCCAGCACGTGCCTTCCTCCGACTGCCCTGGCACGAGAGCAGAGCCCAGAGGAGCCCAGAGGGTCCGGGGGGCTGACAAGCTGCAAAAGACACAGAGCATGGCCGGGAGGCTAAATGGGGGTGACCCCAGAGACTCCTGCCTGCCCTCCTGCAGGATGGGAGTGCGGGGCAGTGGCAGCCCCTGGGGGGGCACAGCACAGGGCACTCGATATTTCACTGGTGCCCCATCGCTTGTGCTGGGGGGGCAGCACGGCCCCGCTGCAGGGGCACAGGTCACGGGGCAGCAGACGAAGGCTGCTTTGCTCCAGCCGTGCTTTCTAACCCCCAGGATCTCGCAGACCAGCTCCCATGCCCCGGCTTTGGGCACAGGGGGGATGCTTCAGGGGAGGGCCATGGGCAAACCAGCTCTGGCAGCCACCAGAGATCTGCAGAGAGCCCTGTTTGGCGCCGGCTGTGACGGCAGAGCTCCCCTGAGACCAACGCATCCCAGAGCCAGAGGAGATAGCCCTGGACCCCCTCACTGCCCAGCTGACCCCAGGGTGGTTTTGCATGGGAGGGAGTAAAAGACACCCTCATCTTCAGGACTAAAATCTACCCGCCTTTGCAGGGACCTGGATGGCACAGAAGCCGCTCCCCCTCCGTGAGCCGACGCACCGGTTTCGAGTGCTTGCACATGGTCAAAGAGCGTTGCGAGCCGGCGAGCTGCAGGAGCGGGCACGGGCACACGCTGCTGGCATGGGCGCACGCCGCCGGCACAGCTCCGCTCTCCAGTCCTCCCTCGCTCCCAGCACTCGCCAGGCCAAGCTGCCCCAGGGACCCAGTCTGAGGGGTGCGGGGCACAAACGAGACAGCAGAGAGCACAAGTCACAGGGCCAGGAGGAGCCTGCATGCCATGGAGGCGAGGGGGTCAGCACACACCCAGAGAGAGAGGACAAAAACCAGCAAAGGAAAAGAAAAAGAGAAATACAGAAGGGAGTACTTACAACAGAAAACAGAGAAATTTCACTTGTTCAGTAGTCCTGATGCACCAAAGCACAGACAGGGAGAGAGACAGACAGATGGAGAGAAGAAGAGCATGTGAAAAGACCTGGATATTAACTCTCCCCTGGAGAAGCACAGCGAGTTGCCAGCTCTGTCTTTTCGGAAGGAAAGGACACAGATAAAGGATGCCCTGATTCCACATTTGCTATTCGCAGTGACAGGGTGAGATTCGACCACAAATCCTGCTGCCAGGGAGGGGAGTGCCTGGAGCGGCCCGTGCTGCTCCGAGGTGATGGAAAGGGAGCCGGGAAATTCCCCACTGCTTCCGCCCTCCGCCAGCTCCTGCTCGCCCGCGGTCACGCACACGAACACCGACTCTTAAAATACCCACATCAACTCTCTGCAATGTATTTCTAAGAGAAGAATATCCAACATACCCCTACATTTTCCTGCTAGGCTTTATCTGCTCTCCCTGTTATAACCCCTTCTCTAGTTTTCCCCCCGGAGAATCCGTGAGCAGAGTGATGGCTTGGTTTGGTTTTACTGCCAAAGCAGCCACAAACTCTGTGCTCCTAAAATTTCCCCTTTCAAGCTTTTTTCTTGCTTTTGCTTTCAATTTGCTTTCAACTATTACCCACGTTAAGTACAATGTGGAAGGACCCAAAACAAGCTGGGCGATTATTCCCTTGTGCAATACCCGCTCTGCTCCCCTCACCCGCCCGGAGACCCCGTGGAGAGGGGACACAGAGAGCCCAGCCCGGCTCCACAGCGGCTCTGACACGTCAGGCCGAGACTCCAGCACTGCCCAGACATGGGCTGGAGCACGTTTGTGATGCAGCAGGTGAAATACCCAGAAACGGCAAGGCTTAGCCATTAAGCCCATCCCCAGAGGAACAGAGCGATGCTGTCTGCGCTCCCACGGGCACCATGAAACGTCACCATCTACACAGGGGTTTTAAATAGCACAGTTCAGGAACTAAAAATGCTCTTAAATAGTTCAGCAAGCGACAAGCAGCTGCCTACCGCCCGGGCAGACGTGATGAAAGCAACAGACCATCCGCCTGTTCGGTCTCTGTTCTCTGCCCCCGTCACACAGAGAAGTTCAGGGGCAGCAGCTCACAACACGTCCCCGCAGCACCCGATGAACCAGACCCGCGGCCGCAGCTCCAGACGCCCCACAGACCCTCGTGCGCGCCCGACAACCCCCGCGGCCCCCCCCTTCCACTACAGCTTTGCTCAGACTCCACGGCCCCGGCGCCTCCACCCCACGAGCTGGAGCCCCGAGGGATCTCCAAAGAGGGGATCCTGCAAAGCACATCCCGATCCAGCCCGCCCCGCTCTGCCTGGGACCCGGTGCACCGGCACCTCTCTGAGACATCCGTCCCTCTCTCCCATCCACCACGGAGCGACCGGGGTGCTGGCAGGGTTTTTGCCTGCCGCTCTGCCAGGACAAGGGGTGGATAAAACCAGGGTGGCAGCAGAACCCTGAGGTGCACATCGGTATTCCGGGCTGGCTCAGAAGGTGCGGGAGTAGGAGCACCATCGCTGCCACCGCAGCTCTGCCCATGCGCAGAGGAACGGAGGGGGCCGCCAGCCCCCAGCCAGCCTCCCGCTCCGCGCACCGGCACTCACGTTATCAGGCGCGACTTGGGCTTCTTCGGGGAGTCTCTGCCTTTCACGAGACCATCCTGCACCTCCAGCGTCTGAGATTCGAGGATTTCGTTGAGGCTGTTATCGGCAGCAGGGCAGAAGTCGGCGGCGGAGCTGGCAAGGGTCTTGGTGGGCTTAAAGGGATCCACAGAGTCAAAGTTATTG